GTTGCTGGTTTTAACACCCGCTAAGAGGGTAAGTATTTATCTGCCCTCTCTGTTGCTTCGTCATGCCTTAGAATTAGGCTGACGGGCAGCTCAGCTGATTTAAGACCAACCCAGCTTTTATGCCTAAAACATCACGAGCTCTTTTAAATCAAGAGTGATATCGTTGGAGGGGTCTTTTCCCCCCCACAGATCAGAAGAGGAAGCATCTTTTCATCTTCTCTGCCCGGTGCGGGCGTTGACGTGTTACATAACGCACACAGCTGCAATGCGTTTCAAACTCAACAATGGTTTGTGCATTATAGAGATGTTTCTACAGGTCGCCGTTATCCATCCAGCGCTTGTCACACTGGCTGTGTGAGGCCTTTTCTGAAGCCTACAGAGCATCAGATTTAGAGCCTCCTGTCAACCTCTAAGCACACTCGACCAGGGGTATCGCATCTTCGACTGCTCTGCATAATGGTATGTCAATGCAGGACATCTGCACTGCGGCTGCATGGTCAACACCCTGCTCATTTATTCGCTTTTACCTACGTGATGTAACGGCTCGTTCCATGACACATTCTGTCCTTAGTGCTCTAACAGAATGAATGTTATTGTTCTCATGGAACTCTGTTTAAGCTCACTTCTGTCTGCATGCATTACAGTGTGAGATGTTGTTATCAGTCACAAGTCGTGTCTGTGATTTTGGTTATATTGTCACTAATCAGTTCATGATTATTGTTACCAATCAGTTCAATTGATTTATAATCAATTTATGGACATTAATCTGTTTATACTGTTCAGCCATGAACCAGTTGGTTCATGCCCCCCGCCCCCCCCCTCTTTTCAACTTCTTCTTCCCGTTGAAAGTTTTCCGGGGTATTCATGCTTTGTCAGAACGCATAGCTACACAACATGCGTCTGTGCATGGCACATAATTACGCGATGCGTAGTTATGCACATGGGGAGCTGAGTGACAAGACGTTTTTTGGGCAAGCTTCCGCTTCTTACTGTGTTCGAATGGACCCAGTGAGGCGAGGACCACATCGGCTTCGCCCTTTACCCACTAAAGCGAAGGCCTTAAAGGGCGAAGCTTATATGACATAGAACGTTGGTTACGTACTGTAACCCCAGATTCTATGAATATAAGCGTAGCCCTTTAAGCGTCGGGCCTCACTGGCTCCTAAATGGCTGAAGAAAAAAGCTATTTTGGGAGCCGATTTCCCGCTCTTAACGTAATTTATACGGACCGGGTAGGGCCCACACAGCAGGTGGGCGTGGACTAATTTTTTCAGTGCTTATGCTCTGCATAACGGGATAAACCCACTAAAGCGAAGGCCTTAAAGGGCTACGCTTATATTCATAGAATCTGGGGTTACAGTACGTAACCAACGTTTTCATTTGATACTATTTCTATCTTAACATGTGATTCTTGACCTGCCATTGTGTATCTATTCCTACCAAACCCAGCCGGTCGAAGCAGATGGTCCTCTTGTCCTGATCCTGGTTCTGCTAAAGGTTTCTTCCTCATGAGGGAGTTTTTCTTTCCACTGTCGCCTTCATGCTTGTTCAAGATGAGAGTTCAGTGATGGAGTTAAACTCAAAGCTGCTCCTCAGATAAATAATGTTCAATTATTATTTTATAGATGAATGTTTCTGTTAAATTATTATTTTATAGATGAATGTTTCTGTTCAATTATTATTTTATACATGAATGTTTCTGTTCAGTGCCTGAGACGATTCTGTTGTGACTTGGTGATATATAAATAAACTGAATTAAATTGAATTGAAATACTTGACATGAACTCAACATGTGTCTGACATTTACTCGACATTCATTCAATGTTTATTTAGACAGGTTAGTCCCATTGAGCCTCAGGGACTCATTTATAAGAGAGACCTGGTTTTAACAAAGAGTGATGACAACAGTGGACAACAAACACAACAACAGACAATCATAAAGGATGTGTACAACTTGAGAACAACAAGTGAAAATAAAATGGTATTTTAAAATATGTAACAAAAATCAGCTAGGTTATAAGATGAAGTAATACAGTACATTCATACAATACAATACATGATATGCACCCAGCATATGCCCAACATTTACCTGACATGTGCCTGACATGTACTCAACATGTACCCTAAATATACAAATGTACATGCACCCAACAACTTTTCAGAAATTATTTCCTGATGTTTTACATTTTATATGCCAGTCAAAGTTGGTTGTATTATAATATAGTCTCTGTCTGCACGAATATAAAAAATTATTTTCCCGCCCATAAACAGAGAAACAGAGAAAATAGATGGGGTCCAAGAATCGAGCCCAGTGGAACCCCGCTGAAAAGAGGCACTGAAGCAGATAATAAATAACCAACATTAACACAAAAGCTCCTGTCATTAAGATAGGAATGGAACCATTTTAATGCCACACCAGTAATCCCAAACCAGTGTTCTAAGTGCAATATAAGGATACTGTGGTCAACAGTATCAAAAGCAGTGGTAAGGTCCAGGAGTACAAGGATCACAAACTGACCATAGTAATTTGCTAAAAGAATATCATTACAAACCATTAATGAAGCTGTTTCAGTGCTGTGTAATTGTTTAAAACCAGACTGAAAGATCTCAAAAATTCCATTCTCATTCAAAATTGAGGCCCTTCAGAAGAATTAATGTTCACAAAGCCACTGGCCCAGACAACACCCTGGGGAGGGTGCTGAGGGACTGTGCCGATCAGCTCTGCAAGGTGCTGACTGATGTCTTTAACTCCTCCTTCACCCTGGCAACCTGGCTGAAGACTGCCACTATCATCCCAGTTCCTAAAAGCTCTGCACTGACTGGACTGAATGACTACCAGTCAGTAGCCCTCGCCCCGATAGTTGCTAAATGCTTTGATAGACTGGTCATGGCCCACATCAAAGCCATTGGCATCAGTGAGGACCCACACCAGTATGCATACTGCAAGAATCGATCAACAGAAGATGCCATCTCCTCTGTGGTCCACACTACTCTCACCCACCTGGAGCAGAAGGACTCCTACGTCCATATGCTCTTTGTGGACTTCATGTCCGCCTTCAACACCATGATCCCCCAAACCCTGATGGACAAACTATCCACACTAGGACTAAGCCCCTCCATTTGCAACTGGGTCCTGGACTTCTTAACCAACAGACCACAGTTAGTGAGGATCCACAACCTCTCCTCCTCCACCATAACCCTCAGCACTGGCTCTCCTCAGGGATGTGTGTTGAGCTAGTTAATTCCGTTGAGCCTTGGGGACTCATTTACAAGAGAGACTTGATTTTAACAAAAAAAGATGACAACAGTGGACAATCAAAAAGGATGCGTACAAATTATTGTTTTTTTAAACAAGTGAAAATAAAATTGTAATTTTAAAGGACAATTAAAAGGAAAAGTAATGAAAAAACAGTTAGATCGTAAAGTGGAGTAGAAAACTAAAAACAGGAACACGTCTGCGTTGGTCTTCACCAGGAACTTATCAGATGTTTGAAGCCACTTAGAGAGGTCAAAGGTCGAGAGCTTCAGATCTTTTTACAAGATATTCCAGGAAACAGGAGCGGAGTAGGAGAAGGTCCTTTTGTCTAGTTCAGTCCTCACTGAGGGAACACTGCAGGTAATGATGTCCTGAGAGCGCACGCTGTAGCTGCACTCACACAGAGACATGTAGGAGGAGATGTATGAAGGCAGCAGACCAGGAAGTGATTTAAAGATGAAAATGTACCAGTGAGAGAGTCTGTGTGAGGTTAATGGTGACCAGTTAACCAGTGAATACTGGGTGCAGTGGTGGGTACGGTAGTTACAGCCAGTTATGAATCTTAGTGCACCATGATAGACAGCATCCAACATCTGCAGCATCCAACATCTGCAGCATCCAACATCTGCAGCATCCAACATCTGCAGGGTTTTTGTAGGAGCGTTCATGTAAATAATGTCACCGTGATCAATGGAGGGAAGGAAAGTCACAGATACAAGGTGTTTCCTAACATTCAGGGTTAGACAGGATCTGTTTCTGAAAAAGAAACCCAGTTTAACTTCCAGTTTCTTTACTAGGTTTTCCAATTTGCCAGTTAAATAATATGTAGGGGTAATGGTTTAGGTCTGAGCACCTTATAACAGGTGTTTACACTAACTGTTCAGAGTTATGTAATAAATGTTGACAACCTCAATCAAAAGAATCGTGTGAGTCCTTGTCACAATTGTAATTCCCCTCACTCGAAGAAAAGACAAAGAGTCTAGGATCAACAACTTCTCCTCCTCCACCATAACCCTCAGCACTGGCTCTCCTCAGGGCTGTGTGTTGAGCCCCTCCTGTTCACTTGGCTCACATACTACAACTGCGCACCTACCCATCCAGACTGTCAATATGCTAAAGTTTGCAGAAGATACAGCGGTGGTTGGATGCATCACAAACAACGATGAGTCCAGTTACAGGCAGGAGGTGGAACACCTGGAGAGCTGGTGCAAAGAGAATAACCTTCACATCAATGTGAAGAATACCCCACACCCAAACATAAGAGGATCTGCAGTGGAAGTGGTCTCCAGCTACAAGTACTTGGGTGTACACCTGAACAACAACCTCAGCTGGAGCAACAACACCACCAGCCTGATCAAGAAAGTTCATCAGAGACTCTACTTCCTCAGACGGCTGAGACGAGCTGGTCTGGGAATCTCAGTCCTCACCTCCTTGCAGCCTTGGTGCCCTTCCACTTGGTCTCTTGGACACATAAAACATCTACCTTCCTTCTCAGCATCATGTCAGCCAGCTCTCTACCTTTGTCTGTCATTGTCCCCACATTTAGAGTTGCAACCCTCAGTCCTACATTCGTCACTTTCCTCTTCTCCTCTGTCTCCTGACATGTTTCCCTCCTCGTGGTCTTCAAATAACAGTAGAACAATTTCTGCCCACACCCTGTTTGTCAACAGCACCGGTGGCGGTCGTTGGTAACCCGGGCCTCGACTGATCTGGTATGGTGTCATTCAGAGGAACTCGCATTAGTTTAGGCAGAAGTATTTTATGTCAGATGCCATTCCTGCCACAACCCTCACCATTTACCCGGGCTTTGGACCAGAACCAGAGATACACTGGCTTGTGCACCTTGGTGGCTGGTGTTACATAACATTCTAATTATTGTCTATAAAGGCTTTGATGAGACTAACCTGTAGAAATAAAGGTTGACTCAGTCGTCCGCTACGTCACTAAAATCATTTTATTGGCCACGCCAAGAGTTTACATTGCAGTGTTACACAGACTTAGAGCCATTATTCTTAAACTTAAAAAGAAGAAATGACAAACTTTAAATTTGCTTATCTGACAGGTTACTAGTTTTAAAGTTGAATCTAATCAGCTTTTTTAAAACACAGTTCATACAGGTGTACTACAAGTACTGGCATGCTGTGGTATTCTGCTGCACATGAACTATATGACCAACCGTGGCGTCCCACAGTGCGTTTCACGTGTAAAGACCATTGTTGCGGTCTATTGTTGTTTTTAAAAATGCTCGTTGTGTACACTCTCCTATAGAAAACTCTATTCTAAAGTCTTCTGAGAGATTCAGTGACAGACACGCCTCTGGACCGTGTTGCTGGTTCAGGGCTTTACACAAAGGGATTTACAGATTCTGTAGGTTTGGCCCAGTATAAAAGTACGAGTTGAAACGGTACCACCACCAGTGTGGAACAGCTCGGTTCTCTGCAGGACAAACACCACAACCATGACGATGGGCAGGGTCAGCACATTCATCTTATCGCAGGCTTCAAATAACTTTTTTATTCTTTATGTTTAATTTTCTTTTCTGCTTCCTCAGGTCATCTTCTACGAGGACAGGAACTTCCAGGGTCGCTCCTATGAG